GAAAACTAATTGGATAACCATTAAAATATCGGTAACGTGAAAAACCGATAATATCGGCGAAATATCGCCGATATTATCGGCATTTAAGACCTTGCCTACATGTAATGTTAAAATATCTCTAATATTTAAAATAAAAATAAAAATAAATAAATAAATAAAAACCAAAAACAAAAACCTCCCACTCCCCCCACATTTTCTCTCCCTCTCCCTCTCTCCCTCTCTCCTTCTCATTTCCTAAAAAAATGTGTTCATACACACAAAGTGTGTAGGCAAATGTTAGTATAAATTAAACAAATTAAACAGCTTAAACCAACCAATAATATAACTTACCCATGAGATGAATTCAGTAAAAATAGGCTAGAGCGGCCACTCCTCAAGCATAACTACCAATCTCTGAAATTTTTATCGAAATTGACAAGTTTATGATTAAAGTTTGATTTCTAGGTATGATAGTATGCTTAAATTGGAACACCTCATAACCACACTTTGCCTCAATAAAATCCTCTCACACACTGCACTGCACCTCATATATACAGTAGAACATCCATAATTTAGTACTCAGTAAATTAATAACCTTTGTTAAATAATATTTTTGGCCGGTTCTAACTTGTGTATAACTTGCTAAGTTAATAATTCGCTAAATTTATCAATAATGCATTATAAAAAATTCATATAGGTAAAATTAATAATTTCTTGTCACTATGGCTTTTGTTTACTTAAATTGGGTTTTTGTTTGATTAAATGTTCATAAAATAGAATAATGTAGTACATTGAACACTGTACAATCTATTTTTAGGAAAAATAAGTATATTCATGAAATTTTACTTGATTAAACAAATACATAAAATTATTAGTTCGTAAAATAAAACTAGCAGGGCTGGCCTAGAAAGTAAGGAATACCTTGATATTTAATATTACTAATTAACAGGGCCAGCCCAGAGAATTTGGGGCCCTAGGCGAGCCTTCGAAGTGGGTTCTAAAGTTCTCTGATCCCCTGTTCCTTGTACATTGATATATATATATATATATATATATATATGCTAAATACATAAAAAATTCTATTTCTATATCAAATATCATTAAAAATTAATAATAAAAGAAGATAGATATCCAAACAGTACTTAATATTACACGTCTCATATTTTTAGATGCAAATGTACTAAATTTTTGCAGTCAAGAGTCTAAAATTGGGAGTGAAGAACAATAAAACTTGATAATCAAGAGTGTAAAGAACAATAAAACTTGATTGACAAGTATAATAAATTCAACAATGACCAATTGTTTTCTCTTGTGTTTTTTCTAAAATTAACATCACACTAACAAATCGAATATTACAATTATCCATTGAATAATAAATTATTGAAAAGTAAATTATAAATTCAAAGTTTTGATTACCTTAAAGTACAATGACACACCCCGATCGAAGTCAAGGTGTGCTGGCCGTCACGTGAGAGTGACGTAGCCAAGAGTGTAAGAGAAGTAAATAAGAATGTGAACAAACAAATAAAAACCAAATTAAAACTTATTTAAGCGAGAATTAAGTAAGTATGCGGAAATGGTCAAACCCAAACTACAAACATTCAGAGCATAGATAACATAAAGGTGCAGTCGAACTGATTAAGTAGTAAATACACAACCAAAGGTAAAATATCCCTACATTATTTGATGGAGTGTCATAATTGCCGATTAGTCCTTGTGTGCCACAAGAGAACGGCTATCTAGGACATGGAGGGGCCAAAAAACAGAACGGTGAGTGGGCTAAAACAAAACTTTAGAAAACACATTTCTCTTTTCTGAAAGTAATAACCCTTCACTATAAAACCCGTATAGTTTCCAGAAAATAATACTACATAAGTACGAAAACGAATGCATGAGTGCAGTGAAAATAGAAACATGCCATGCCACGATATCTCAGCAATAATAGGCGTAAGCCAAGTGTGAAATCAGTCTAACTAGCATGCCAGTCAGATTCACCTAATGTGACATGTACAACTGGACCTATTGCTCATCAGTCTATGCTAGCACACGAGTCGAAGTCACCTAGTGTGACCTGTATGACAAGCTGGGTGTAAATATGTACGCTCTAATGATATGATCACTTGATGGCTAGCAATAAATCGCGGGCCACCTATGATTCAGAACGATCTAATGCAGTCTATACGATAGGCTAGCACCTACTTGGATCCAAGGCGAGGGTGCGGTGCGGGAGGTGAACATACACGTGAAGGTTGTGCCCTGGCCCAGGGCGGGAGCACTAACACTGAGGTACAGCAGTGATGAGCTCTAAATGAATATATGCATGCTCATATAATGCAACATTTCAATCACATAATAACTCACTTGAACTTACCTGCACCTCCATAGGATCATTTGACATAATCACAAATCTCATCAAAATGCAATATTTAAATATAACATATTTAAATCATGGCATGCTATGCATAATCAATTTCAAACATTTCTGGAAATCGTAAGATATATATATATATGAAAACAAATGCCCACTCATGGATATGTTGAAGGATTGTAACCCACGACAAGCGCTGACGGAACCCTAACAGAAGTTAGGAATATTCCGTCAGAATACACGAAATATTCCATTAAATGGTAACGGCATTACCTGATGCCATCAGAATATTTTATCAACTTTGACGGAATATTCGCCTTCTTCTCCGGCTAGCTTCACCGTCCGCCGTCACCGGCACCGTCGTTTGGTTCGCCGGTTTCTGGAAAATATCACTGGATTCTGGGAAATTTTTCAAACCTTAATATCTAGTTCATTTCTCAACCAAAATCCATGAAATTTATATGGATATAAAGCTCTTAAGGAGTAGAACAAGTTCGTACCTCTTAAAAGTCCAAAATCAAGCGAAAAATGGCCTGAAAATCCCTCGAAAGTTTCGACCAAACTAAAACTTCTCAAATTCACATGATCCGACGTCAACTCTTTTCCAAACTTAGTCTAGGGTCCTTAGGGAGTTGAGTAGAAACTTTCTAGAGCCTTAAAACCTCGCAACTCTGCCATGATCACGACGACCCAAGAACCACTGAGTCGGACTTCACGAGTCAACGGGTCAAAACTCGTTAAAATGAGAAACGATTGGTACGATTGAGTTCGTGAGGTCGAGATGAGCACGATGGTGATGTTTTTAGGCTTGATCCGCGATGGTTTGATGATGGTTAAAAGGTGGTGATGGCTCAGGTATGAGAAGAACAAAGAAAAAGGTGCGAGAATGAGAGAAAGAGCTCGGGTTTGATTGGGCAGAAGAGAGAGAGATAATTTTAATTGGTCCAAAAAAAAGAGAATCTAATTGGGCTAGGTATTGTGGGAATCTAAATAAGTGGTGGATAGGGATAGTGATAAAAATAATGTAAAACCACATATGTACATCCACGTCACTTAGCCAACCAAGGCATAATCGTCACTTCACACACTCGGGGAGAAAATTACATAGAAAATAGGGACGGGTCGTCACAGTCTACCCCCTTAAGAAAATTTCATCCCCGAAATTCGAACACAACACAAATCAATAATCAAAGAATAGACGTGGATACAAGTCTCGCATGCGTTCCACCGTCTCCTAGGTGACTTCCTCAATTGAGTGGTTCCTCCACAAGACTTTCACCATGCAAATGGTCTTGTTCCTGAGAACCTTATCTTTCCAATCCATAATCGTCACTGGAACCTTATCATAAGTCAAGTCTGGATTAATTTTCAGTTGCTGAGGAGTAGATTTGGCAATTTCTTACACGACAACCGGTTAACATGACACGTAAACGACATGAAAATAACGGGTTTCGGGTCTACACGATAACTAATCAGGTCATTATCGGTTCACACGATAATAACCTATTAATAACGGGTCCTTAACAGGTTTACACTAGAGTGACACACGGGTAACATGTTTCGACATGATTAAAAAAATGCTATTTTGATTATTTTAATTTTTTAAACTACTAAAAAAAACTTACTATAAAATGCAATAGATATAATGAATATGTATATATTGTTTATTAATTATTATTCTATATGAATTTTAAAATTGAAGTTTTATTTATTTATTTATTTTTATAGTATATTATAGGCAAAGATTGAGATTAAAAATCATAAAACACATTAAAAATAAAAATATCAAATAATTTAAAAATACCAAACACATTTAAAAAAAATTATAATAATTAATTTACATGTGCGAAAAATATGAAAAAATATGCAAACGCTCGTAGTCACATCCTCTATGCTTTGAGGATGGGTATATGATTGTGTGAATTTTTAAAACCATACAAACTCTCATGAATAGTATTCTTAAGGGAGTTCAAAATAAATAAAATTCATAATCATTAATGTATAAGTCTAAAAGATGTGAAAGCATAATAAACGTTCATAATTGCATCCTCAATGCTTAGACTATGGTTACATAGTCGTTTAGATTTTTAAAACCCTACAAATCTCATGAACAATGTTTTTTATTTGAGTGCAAAATTAATAAAATTAATAATAATTATTGTAGAAGTGTGAAAAATGTAATCACTTGTAATGAAAAGCCTTACAATTTTCATGAAGGGGTCAACTCTGAAATTTAGTATGTATATACTAATTTAGTATTATGTTTTACATTTTTTTGGGTCAAATTATGTTTTTCATTTTCATTTTTATTGATTTAAAATATATTTTTCTTAACGGGTAACGAGTCAGGTCATATTACCTGGTAATATTATCAGGTTGATTTTGGGTCGGGTCATATTACCCATTTACTTTAACGGGTATTTCACAACACGACCCGTTAAGCTAGCGGGTATGACACGAAAACGACATGAACACGAGAAACACAACATGAATGCCAAGTCTACTGAGCAGGAATCACATGTGACGGATCATACACATCTACGCAACATAGACAAGTGGAACACGTTATGCACCTTCGCGTAGTCAAGTGGAACACGTTATGCACCTTCGATAATTCTGGTGGTAGCTCAAGTCGGTAGGCAACTTCACCAACTCACTCGATGATTTGATACAGTCCAATATAACAAGGACTTAGCTTCCCTTTCTTCCTGAACCGTACCACGGCTTTCCATGGTGATAACTTCAAAAACACCCAATCTCCAATCTTATATACCCTGTCAGTTGAATGTCTATCGACGATACTCTTTTGTCGATCCTGGGCCGCCTTCATGTTAGCTTTTATCACCTGAATGTTCTGTGTAGTTTCATTCACAATCTCAGGACCCATTAAAACTCTATCGCCGACTTCAAACCAATATAGCAGGGAACGACATGGTTTCCCATAACGCACTTCAAAAAGTGACATACCAATGCTAGAATGATAGCTGTTATTATAAGCGAACTCAAATAAAGCCAATCACTTATGCCAAGCGTCACCAAACTGCAAAACTTAGGATCTCAACATATCTTCTAGCGTCTGAATAATCCTCTCAAATTACCCATCCGTCTGAGGATGATAAGCCCTGCTGTAAAGTAAATTCGATCCGAGAGCTTCTTGAAAAGCTACCCAAAATTTTGAAGTGAATCTAGGATCCCAATCAGAAATGGTACTAACTGGAACTCCGTGGTACTTAACAATTTCAGAGATGAACCGTTCTGCCAACTGACTCAACGAGTAATTCTCAGAACAGGTATGAAATGTGCTGACTTGGTGAGCCGATCAACTATCACCCAAATACCATCATAACCATTTCATGTACAAGGTAACTTGTACACGAAATCCATGGTAATATTTTCCCATTTCCATTGAGGTACGGGAAGTGGCTGTAGTAATCTAAACGATTTCTACCTTTCTGCCTTGACCTGCTGACAAAGTGTACAACGACTTACATACGTTGCGATTTCTCTTTTCATGCCAAGCCAATAATAAAATGGTCGGATGGTATGCTACATCTTGGTACTCCCATGATGCATTGCATAAGCTGAAATATGCACTTCATCAAGTATTTCTTTCTTCAATTCTTCTATGTCCGACATATACATCCGCTCACCCTGCATAAGCAAACCATTAGGTCTCAAAATCCTGAGGTCTCCTATTTTCCCTTCGGACACTACCTGTACCAATGCTTGTGACTCTGAGTTATTGGCCTGAGCTTTGAGTACACGATCCAGCAATTGGCCTAACTTGAAAATTAACAAGTAAAGCTCCCTGGTAATCTTCCTCTAATGTAACTCTAGTAGATCGTAATTTAGTCAAAAGTGGAACAGTGCATGCATAAAGTGTGTTGAGTCGACCTTGGGATTTCCTGCTTAAAGCATCAGCTACAGAGTTTGCACGACCAAGATGATACTTAATTGTGCAATCACAATCACTAAGCAACTCAATCCATCTCCGCTGCTTAAGATTAAGATCTTTCTGAGTGAAAATGTATTTAAGAATTTTATGGTCGATGAAGATCCAACACGTTTCCCCGTACAAATAATGCCTTCATATTTTCAATGCAAAGACAATAGTTGCTAACTCGAGATCATTAGTAGGATAATTCATTTCGTGGGGCTTTAACTGTCGTGAAGCATACGCAATCACTCTTCCATGCTGCATTAATACACATCCTAAACCATTCAAAGAAGCATCACTATAGATCTCGAAGTTCCCATTGTCATCAGGAAGTGCCAAAACAGGTGCATGAGTGAGACAATATTTCAATTGCTGAAAACTTCGCTCATAATCATCACTCTACTCAAATTTAACTTCCTTCTTGGTCAACCTGGTTAGAGTCAGGGATATAGCTGAGAAATCTTTCGAAAAGCGTTGATAATAGCCCGCAAGACCAAGAAAACTCCGCACTTTCGTGACAGTCTGAAGCTGTTCCCGATTCTCCACAGCAGCTACTTGCTGAAGGTCCACAAGAATACCCCGAGCTGATATCACATGTCCAAAGAACGATACTTAATCCAGCCAGAATTGACATTTACTAAATTTAGCATACAACTGATTTTCCTTTAACTTCTTCAGAACCAGACTTAGATGTCTAGCTTGCTCCACCTTAGTATTAGAATATACCAAAATATCATCAATGAAAACAATAATAAACCTGTTGAGATACGGTCGAAATACTCGATTCATCAGGTTCATAAAGGCTGCTGGAGCATTCGTTAACTCAAATGGCATCACGAGAAACTCATAATGACCATAACGAGTTCGAAATGCTGTCTTCGGGACATCCTCCCTCTTAATCTTCAACTGATAGTACACAGATCTTAGATCAATTTTCGAGAAGACACAGGTACCACGAAACTGGTAAAAAATATCATCAATATGAGGCAATGGATAATGGTTTTTAATCGTTACCCGATTTAATTGTTGATAATCAATACACAGCCTCAAAGTTCCGTCTTTCTTTCGCACAAACAAAACTGGAGCTCCCCAAGGAGAAGTACTCAGCTGGATAAAACCCTTATCAACAAGTTCTTGCAACTGGGTTTTCAATTCTCTCAACTCAGCAGGTGCCATTCGGTAAGGGGTTAAAGAAATAGGATTTGTACCTGGAATTAGATCAATAGTGAACTCCACTTCACGATTTGGAGGTAGTCCAGGTAAATCATCAGGAAAGACATCAACAAAATGTTGGACTACCCTAATATCCTCCACTCGAGCATAAGTATCCTTGTTCAGCACCATATGAGCTAGGTAGCCTTGACATCATTTCCTCAATAGTCTATTCGCTCTCACGACAGAGATAATGCCCTATCTCAACCCACTGCGCTCACCGACAAAAGTGACCATAGGCAAGCCTGGCCGATGGAATGTGACAACCTTCTGATAACAATCCAACTTGGCACAATTGTAATGTAACCAATCCATGCCCAGAATAACAATGAAATCGACGATATTTAGTGGAACAAGATTAGCTGGCATGATGACATCCTCAACAAGAACAGGACATCCTTGATACTCCTAGCTAACATAGCAAGTTTCATCTCTAGGCATGGAAAACTCCAACTCATAACCAAGAGAAGTAGGGTGTGGTTAAGTCTTTTGAGCAAACATATAAGATATAACAGAATGCGTAGCACCTGAATCTATTAATGCTTTATCAAAATGACCAAGAATATTCAACGTACCCATAATCAAACTAGGGTTGCTCTGAGCATCTTGCAGAGTGATGTGATAGACACGGCCATGTGCCTGTTGCCGACCTCCACAACCCATGTTTCCTTAATTACCACATCCCTGGATACCTTATCCCTGACTGGGCTGACTAGGCTGCCTAATCGAACCACCACTACTTGAGGTGACATCAAGATTCTGGGACTATCCCTCAGCATACCATTGCGATCCGCCACCCTGATATGGCGCATACAGCATATAGCATCCCTGGTACTGTGGGTAACCACCCTGATAATAAAGATCAGGTGGATACATATATGCTCATCCTGGATACTGAGCTACATCCCCCTAGTAGTGGTAAGCACCACCATAACCTGTCGAAGTATAAGCACTAGGTCCCTCAATTTGCTGGATAGGGACTGCAGGTGGTAATGTAAGGGGCTGAGGTTTCTGCTGATTCTGTGGACACTGGTTAGCCCTATGCCCCATCTGAGCACAAGTGAAACATCCACCACTACCACTTTTACACTATCTGAAATGCCAGTTATTACACCTACGACAAGGTGGAGCACCAGAACTACTAAGATTCCTCTGCTGCTTAAAGCATAAACCACTTGTGGACCTACCGCCTCTTTGCAGTAATCTTAGGACAATATTGAGACAAATCAGTCAATTTCCTGTGATACTCAGTGGCTAACATTTTCCCTTGTTTCAATTATGAGAATTCGTCCCTCTTATGATCCAAATACTACAGTGGTATAAATCTAGCCTGAAACTGCTACTTAAAAACCTCCCAATTCATGGCATCTTGAACTGACAACGGGAGCCATTCCTGAGTCCACCAGGATGCAGCCTCCAAAAGTAAAAACCAAGTGACTGTCTTGACCCACCTTTCTTCTGGAAGAGTTCCCTGACACTACATAACTCTGAAAATTTTCTCGACATGATTGAGCCAAAGAACAGATTTCTCAAGTCCCTCATTACCCAAGAAATTATTGATCTGAAGGTGAGATATTGTTTCCAAAGTAGTCTTTTGAGGAGGACAAAGTGAAGACTGAATAGCATTAGCAATAGCTTCACCAAGTTGTCCAAAATCTGGAAAATTAGACTTAGAGGGAACACATGGCTCTCTACGAGGCGGCATGATTCTGACATAAGAGATAAAAAATTGATTAGGACTTATAATACAAACGAAGAATGCAGGACTGCCAAACGTATGCTCTAATACCAAACCGATACACCCCGACCGAAGTCGAGGTATACTGGCCGTCACGTGAGAGTAACGTAGCCAAGAGTGTAAAAGAAGTAAATAAGAATGTGAACAAACAAATTAAAACCAAATTAAAACTTATTTAAGCTAGAATTAAGTAAGTATGTGAAAGTGGTCAAACCCAAACTACAAACATTCAGAGCATAGATAACATAAAGGTGCAGTCGAACTGATTAAGTACTAAATACACAACCAAAGGTAAAATATCCCTACATTATTTGATGGAGTGTCAGAACCGCTGATTAGTCCTCGTGTGCCACAAAAGAGAACGGCTATCTATGACCTGGAGAGGCGAAAAACAGAAGGGTGAGTGGACAAAAACAAAACTTTAGAAAACACATTTCTCTTTTCTGAAAGTAATAATCCCTCACTGTAAAACCCGTATAGTTTCCAAAAAATAATACTAAATAAGTACAAAAACGAATGCATGAGTGCAGTGAAAATAGAAGCATGACATGCCACGATATCTCAGCAATAATAGGCGTAAGCTAGGTGTGAAATCGGTCTAACTAGCATGCCAGTCGAAGTCACCTAATGTGACCTATACGACTGGACCTATTGCTCGTCATTCTATGCTAGCACACGAGTCGGAGTCACCTAGTGTGACATGTACGACAGGTTGGGTGTAAATATGTATGCTCTAGTGCTACGATCATGTGATGGCTAGCAATAAATCTCGGGTCATCTATGAGTCGAAACTGCCTAATGCAGTCTGTACAATAGGCTAGCACCTATTTGGATCCAAGGCGAGCTTGTGGTACGGGAGGTGAACATACACGTGAAGGCTGTGCCCTGGCCCAAGGCGGGAGCACTAACACAGGGGTGCAGCAATGATAAGCTCTAAATGAATATATGCATGCTCATATAATGCAACATTTCAATCACATAATAACTCACCTAAACTTACTTGCACCTTCGTAAGATCATTTGATATAATCACAAATCTCATCATAATGCAATATTTAAATAGAACACATTTAAATCATGACATGCTATGCATAATCAATTTAAAACATTTCTGGACACCGTAAGATATATAAATATATATATATATATATATATGAAAACAAATGCCTACTCACTGATATGTTGAAGGATTAAAGCCCCCCAACCTCGCTTGTCCCGCTCGTCCTCATGGTAAGTCTCCCCTATATGCGAAACAACTATTTTTAGTTAATTAATTAGCACATACGCAAGAATCTAAGAATAACTTCTCATAGTTTGCTCAAACGGAAGGTTTGAATATACGAAAATGTTCTACTCGAAGTCACGGACCCGCACATGAACTCGCCAGCCGGACGCGCCGTTCAACCCACGGCCTTACGTGCAGGCACGTGCACGGCATGCGTTGACGGAACCCTAACAGACGTTAGGAATATTCCTTCAAAATACATAGAATATTCCGTTAAATGGTAACAACGTTACTTGACGCCATCAGAATATTCCGTCAACTTTGACGGAATATTCGCCTTCTTCTCCAGCGAGCTTCACTGTCCGCCGTCGTCTAGTTCGCCGATTTCTGGAAAATATCGCCAGATTCTGGAAACAAATTTCAAACCTCAATATCTAGTTCATTTCTCAACCAAAATCCATGAAATTTATATGAATTTAAAGCTTTTGAGGACTAGAACAAGTTCGTACCTCTTAAAAGTCCAAAATCAAGCGAAAAATGGCCTGAAAATCCCTGGAAAGTTCCGACCAAAACTAAAACTTCTCGAACTCGCGTGATCCGACGCAAACTTAGTCTAAGGTCCTTAGAGAGTTGAGTAGAAACTTTCTCGAGCCTTATAACCTCGCAACTCAACCACGATCACGACGACCCAAGAACCATCGAGTCGGAGTTCACGAGTCAACGAGTCAAAACTTGTTAAAACGAGAAACGATTGAGTTCGTGAGGCCGAGATGAGCACGATGGTGATGTTTTTAGGCTTGATCCGTTATGGTTTGATGATGATTAAAAGGTGGTGGTGGCTCGAGTATGAGAAGAATAGAGAAGAAGGTGCGAGAATGAGAGAAAGAGAAAGAGCTCGGGTTTGATTGGGCAGAGGAGAGAGAGATAATTTTAATTGGTCCAAAAGAAAGAGAAAATATCTAATTGGGCTAGGGATTGTGGGAACCAAAATAATTGGTGGATAAGGATAGTGATAAAAATAATGTAAAACCACATATGTACTGTGTACATCCACGTCACTTAGCCAACTAGGGCATAATCGTCATTTGACACACTTGAGGAGAAAATTACATAGAAAATAGGGACAGGTCGTCACATACAATCTTCAAGACCATATGATAGTTGATTTAAAATTCGATATAAATGGAGAGATTGAAAAGTTGAAAGAAAAAAAATTGCAAAGGGACTTGAGTTTTATAACTTTATATGCACTTGGACAAATCGATTGGCAGTAATTTTTTAAAAACAAGAAAAAACTAGTGACTAAAAAGGCAACTCCATGTTTCGAACTCAACACCCAAAAAAAAAGGAAGTTGAACATTTCCATTGCACCAAAAAATGAAATTTGATATTTTTTTTTCTTTTTCTGTATTTTTATGTAATTTACAGAATATATAAATTTTTTGATGACCCCTCTCAAGTGGGGCCCCTAAGCGGGTGCCTACATGGACTGCCCTCAGGGTCAGTACGGCTAATTAATTGATAATTTAATAAATTATTAATTCATTGATTATTTTATATTTGCTAAAGAAGGCTATTAATTTATAGATATTTAACTGTATATTACATCTACTAGCTCATGCATGAAACAATATATGAGGTTATTTAGTAGCCAACCTCGTAGTTAATTGTTGACCGACCTCTCTAATCCACTAAATCAGCAAGTTACAATCATAATAAACTGATCATTGTTAACTTTCTTGGTTGTTTTCTTAATCATGCTTTACCTGTTTCGTGGAATACTCAGTGTAAGTTATTGCAACCAAGTATTCTGAGGATTTTGATGAAAATCTGTCAAGAAATTCTCAGGCCTGGGACGATTGTTCAAATTACTGGGTTTCTTCTGGCTAGTTTACATTGGGATGTAATGGATGATTTGACGAAGAGATGTTAGGTGAAGAATGGGAAGACGATAACAGTATGAAGGACGTAGAAATGAGGTTCCATGATGGTTTTTATCTCGATAATGGTGGGTTTGATTGGCTCCGATCTCGTTGAATTTTCTTGATGGAGTTCCGGAGGAGGTTAGAGATTCAACCACCTGTAACCTGGTGTAAGAAATGTTGTTTTTGCTACTAATTATCTGCCATTAATAATCGGCATTAAACTTCCATGTGTGTGTTTCCGTAACCACGTACTATGTGTATCAATGCAAGTGAAATCTGTCCAACCAAGAAACTAAAAACGAAATAATTATCAAAGTTTGAACCCACGACTAGTCATGGAGGAACTAGGTAGGTTCACACCCACGGAGGGTCCAAACTTTAAGAAATGATCAGGTTTTGAAGCGTCAGTTAGAAACCGATAGCATTACATGAGACCAAGTTGATCCGGGAAACCAGAAACATATACATCGTGACACGAAATCGGATTGATTACGCAATTGACAATTACAGAACACGAGCGAGGAGAAATTACATTCCTACCTTATTGTTACAATTGTACGCTCAAATGGTTGCAATTCTGTATTACAATTATTCTTTCTTTGTTGTTTATCCTTTACCACCCAGCACTGCGTACGTCCAACAAGCCTAAGAAACTTTTCTCTTGGCTGAAAACCTGATACCCCCGGGGACAAAGCTGCATTGATAATCGCCTGAGCGGAATACAGATCCACGTATTTGGCTTGTGACCAACAACGTTGGAATAACGGTTACATGAGAATTTGCAGCTCCAAAATCCTTGGTAGTCTGCGTTGCTTCCATCAATAGACTATATTTGGTGGGCTTCCTTCTGTTTTAAATCCTCCTCACTTGAATTAGGTACTATAGTGGTACTTTGTTCCTGGTCGCGTACCTGTCTACTTTCCCGTAGCTTCCCAGAAGTCGCAATTGCAAGAATTAGCTCAAGTTGTTTTTCCTGCTGCTCCTGCATATGACAATCAGCGAAACATATTATATTCAAAATAATGATGCCAAAAGTTGGATCTCACAATTAATAATTTTTTGTTAACCTAGAGAATCCATGACCGAGATTCGAAAAGCAGATAAGAGTGCAATCACAAACAGATAGAAACACTGAAAGTCCATTAACCTTGGCATTCTAGCTTGTAGAAGGGAATATAACCAGTTTCTACCAGCTGAATCACTAATGGAAGAACTCCATAGAAGTTAATGTTATTCCCAAAATCATTGAAAATATTTGATCCTCGAGTCTACATGCTGAGGAAACCTGACAACTCTAAATCCTGTTTAGCCACCAGCTGGGAGTGGAGAACACTGACCTGCATTGCCAGCAAAACTTTTTGAATTTCTCCAAGCTCCTTTTCCAAAATGTCTTCTTGTGCTGCTAATGCTCGAGTGGCCTCAGAATTCTTTTGAGCCAAAGCTGCAGTCTTCAGAAACAACAAACTAGTTAGATGAAGGGCCAGATAAATTGCAATATTATCTGATACAAGTTTATTGATACTTTAAGCAAACAAGATCACTTTATTTCTGCATTTCAACATATTGAATTAATCCATTTTTCAGGGTTAGCAGTAAATATCCTAAGGTCCTAAACATTTCAGCATGGCATAGGCTCATAGCCAAAGAACCTTGAGTTTTTGTTGTAGCAACTTTACCCATGTTGCTTACCATTCATACCATTACCCACACTATCTTGCATATCCGCTAAGTGTCTAAACTTGTTTTAACCTGTCCCAATCATCTGCAAAATGGTCTCCAGTTCGACAAAATTATTTCAGATGCTACCAGAGATTCGACAGAACCATTTTTCAAGATCACTGGGTTCTGAAGTTGAGTGTCTTTGTTCTCATGGCTATGACCTTTGACATTTCACAATGATTAATGATCATGCAGGGAAAGGAGAACGATGTGTCCTTTCTTTTTTTGGCTGTAGGGAGAGAATAGTTGAAAAGCCTGAAAATATGATTTGGTCATCAGGCAAAGGTAATGATGACTATTAAATAGGTTAGCTTTTTTGCATGTACAGCTCACCACAGAAGTAGAGGATTCTGAATAGCTGCTATGATTTTAGATCTCTTTTACTATTCTTCTTGAAAAGAATCCTAGCGTATTCAGCATTCGAGCCAAGCACATGACCATATGGCCTAGACGACACTCTTCTATTGTATATAATCGTTACTCGTACTTGATTGAGAACATGGTAAGCATCCACTAGAATCCAGTAGGCATACAGATCTTACTTCTACAGTTATGATCCTTAAAAATTCTCATGTACCAAAATTGAGTTATTAACATATATAGATGCTCCATTGTGTAGAGACTCTAAGAGGTGCTTCATGAGATAATTTCACAGGTTTACAAGTAAGCACATAAACTCCTCACCTTTTTCAGCGCTCTACATGATATACTAATTTCACTACTCAAAACTTACAGCATTAGCCTTCACTCAGTATCTGTTTCCATATTCAAAGGGATATACAAGTACTTAAAAGCTATAAACTGTACAAGAAATAGATTATACAGCATGCAACTGAAATCATAGGCATGTATATCCCAATATTATCACTCCATAGACACTTATTGCAATGTGCCAATACTAGCCTGATGCAAGATAGAATCATAGAATTCACATTTATTTTTTGAGGTTAATGATGACAGAAACCGAGGTGTTACACTAACAGGTAGATGAATGGGTTTCCACAAGCAACTTCAAATTTTGACGTAAGTCTAAACCAGTAATCCATGAAAGTGGTGGTGATTATGGAACAAAATCAAATCTCCAAGGGTGTGGTTATTGTAATAATCTAGACACCATTTGAAGAACAATCAATCCTACCGAGCTATAGCAAATAGATTCTAACTGTGTGGCCTTTGAATAATAAAAATTAACCAATCTCAAAATTCTTAAGACTCCACATTTGTGGACAGTGTATTTGAACATTTTTGGATGGGGAAAAACTCAATTCAATTGGGCAGATAGATGACATATCCAAATGTCAAGATATACTCCAATTTCCACAATTTGACAATCAACAAAATGAGTTATTCAGAAACCACCAGCACAAAGCTACCAATTAAATCATCACTAACTTAACCATATAGTGTGTAATACATGGTTTCATATTCCCTCAGAGGTCACTCTATAGGATGGAGCTTAAAAAGTAACAGATATACTCAATTGATACTTACAACTATTACGGGTGCAAACCATGTAATCAAGTTATACTGCATCCTATTCGAGTTATGCCATTTTAGGTTCGTATCAAGTACTAGTCAAGACTAACTCAATATGTTTAATTAATAATGTAAGATCACCGGACATTAACCAATCTGTATACTATTCGTGCCATGTGGAGTTGATACATGTTACTTATGAACAGAAACCCAAACAAAACTATAACCTCATATCATTTTTGTCTTTGTAATAAACTATAATCGAACTTAACCCACTAAACTATAATCAAACACTTCATTAATTTCTAAAGCTATTTAGTATTACTCTGATACTACATTTCCATGACCTTATCACAATTTATAATCCAACTAGAAAGGCCAATGCTTGCAAAAATAGTTCAAGTATTTCCTTTTCTCTGTCAAACAGTAATTCTCCGAAAAATCATCTACATTACTATAAACAGAAGACTTTACCAAACTTATCAGTCATCCAAAAGTTTCCATTACCTCAGCAATGGGCTCTTTCAAAGCCTTACGGGTAACCCGAAATCTTATCCCCAATTTCTCGAGCTGCCTTGACAAAACCCGAATGATTGTAGTCGAGCTCCGCAAATCCTCTTCCAATTTCTCAATTCTCTCAAACAAATTCAACTCCATCCCACCCTTCACCGACTCCCTGCACATTCGCCTCCACTGCCGCCGCCGAATCCACGCCCCGATCCCTACGGCCATTACCAACGCCACAGCCCCAGACGCCAAAACCCAGTTCCCCATTGCCACTAAAGACGTCTTCTTTAAGCTCAAAACCGCGCAATTGACCGCGAAACCAATAGAAACAACCGCCGACGACGTAATGCACAAAAACTCCGCAATCGACAAGAAATAGTCCAAATTGAAAGCACCACTGACGGCGTCATTTGGTTGCAGAGTTGCATCGGAGTTGTACACTCCAAGACGAGATTGATGGGAGCTGAAATTTTGGGGATTTACAGGACTGTTGTTTGAGATTGGGAAATGCCTGCGACTGATGATTGGGAGAGAGAGAATGGCTGGGGTTTTGGGGAAAGATGCGGCGGCGATGTAGAGGGCGAGTCGAGGTCGCGGAGGTGAATTTACTAATAGCTGGAGGCAAGTGAATGACATTGTTTTGGGGCTGTGGATCTCTGTGATTGTGCGGTTGGGTTCAGTTAGGGTTTTGGATTTTGGTCCATTTGAAGTTGCAGAGGGAGAGAGAGGGACAAAGAGTGGGCGATGGGTTCGATAATTGGCGCGTGGAGAGTGTGCTTAACAAAAACCAAGCAAAACATTAAATCGGCCTCCATCTTGTTTTGATTTTTTTTTTCTTTATTTTTCAGTTTAAATAGAAAAATGACCTGGATTAACAAAGTTTAAAACTTACTCGTATGATCCAAACTACATATTAATAGAATTTTTTTTGTCAATTAAAAGATAGTGAAAAGATTATTTAGTCTTCTATCACAACAAAAAAAAGATAAGTGTAAGTGATTTTAACATCTTTAATTTAAAAAAGTTAAAAAATAAATACAAAATAAATCTTTCTCCCTCTCTCCACACTCCCTGTTCCACAATCTCTCTCACTCTCTTCCTCTCTCTCCACTTCCACGTTCTCTCTCACTCTCTTCTTCTCTCCTTCAATTTTAAAAACAAAAATAAAAAATTTCATATTAGTAGAACCATCTTTGTCAACCAAAAAATGATGAAAAAAACATTTAGTCTTCCATCACAAGATTCACAACAGAAAAATTAAGGGCAGTAACGTAATTTTACAAAACAAAATTTTGCTGTTTTTTATTTAAACCTCACCTATAGATGATTTTAACATCTCTGATTTTAAAAAGTTAAAGAATAATACAAATAAATCTCTATGCCTCTCTCCCCACTCCCATGATCTCTCTCACTCTCTTTCTCTCTCCACACTTCCACGTTCTCTTTCACTCTTCCTAGAATGGTACTCCTTAACAACATTGGTAAGGGCACAAACAGTTGCATAACCAATGGTCTATTCCATTGAGACGGAAATAGGTTTTGCAGGGTTAAGGTTCGGGAATATTTTCCCTTATTCTTGAAGTTTTAGGTCTTAGGTACCAAGGATCATGCTTCGGGCATGATGCCACACCTTGGTAGACCCTAATTCTACCATATGTTGTAAAAACAAACTCGAAATTGGATTGTGAGAGAATATGTCATTCGGTGTATCCCTACCGAAGCAGTGCATCACCATTCGGTAGGCTTTGACCAAACTGGGTAGAGCTATTCAGTAGACTCCAGCCGAATTGGGTCCATACCTTTCTCTCACGTTTTGTGGTAGTGATCAGATCCGAGAATTTGGTAAATTTCCACTTTCTACGCTTGTTGCTTCAGGAGCGAATTAGAAACAACGAAGGACGAGAAAAGTATTCTCGAGCCAAAATTCGATCGGATTTATAAACTTCAGAATTGTACTCATTCATGGACGTAATCATGGTGTGCTTCAGGCAATGTCTTTCATGATTAGACAGTCTGTAGGAGCGAGCCAAAGAGCCATGGAATCCTCGATCGGGAGGTATTTCCATTTGTAATGCTTTGAGCATAAGTCTTCAAATGAAGACCATGGCGGAAGCTTATTCAACTCTTCCATGCCATTGTTGGCTTCAATGGTTTATCAACTTCTTGATAGTCAAGTGGAGATTCACGTCTTGTACCCCACATAAAGTGGTTTTTATTAGAAAACGCCCAAATCAAGAAAATCAAACTTCTGACGATTCGACAATCCACTGAATTAGAGGGAACAAGATTATGATTGTTGCTATGGGAAAGAATCACCTATAAGCATCAAAGTTAGAACATTCGAGTTCTAAGACATGGCTCTCATGAAAAACGTCGGGTTTTCATGGATGTATTGTTTTATGAAATCTTCGAGTTTCAAAGGCACTAAATTTGAAACTACATGTTCAATTTAGTTTATGAATGTTTAGTTCATAAAGGAGAGGTTCCTGCAAGAACACAGAATGCAATATACAACCAAGTGTAGTGGATTTGGGTTGCTTCAGGAACTCAAGTGTGAGCGCTTCGGAACTACGAAATAATTGTCTAAAAGTGATATTCATGTCAATAATTTTGGATTCATTATTAAATTAATGGACTGCAGGTCACCTTTAATTAATTTAATAAATTGAGACCATTTGGGGTCGATTGTAGAAGCAAAATAATATTAAGATACGGGTTTAAATTATTTAGAATGCTAAAATAATAGCATTGGGTCAAAAATATAGTCCCAAAAATATTAGGGCTGGGTGCCGTAAGGAGGCAATGCCCTAGGGGGGTATACGGGCTCGAGGTGAGGCTGCAAAAACAGCCTATAGATTGGTCTTCAGGCCACGGGTCTGGCTGCGCTAGGCAGCCCAGATAGACTGCAAGAGCGGGCCACGGCTGAAATAAACAGCCCATCAAAGTAGAAAAAAAAAACTTGGCTGATATTGGGCTTTGGAAAGGCTGTTGTGCAGCTCAGCTTGCAGTTGAAAATGGGCCGAGCTGGAGGAAGGCCCAGTAGCGCAAAGGCTACTGGCGATGGCCGAGGAGAGAGAAGCCCAGCACGTTTGCTGGCTTCTGGAACGGACAGAAGGCTTGAAGCCCTTGCACCAATGAACCCAAGCAGCAGGCTTGGTCCAATTTAAGCCTAAAAAAATAGTCCAGTCACATACCCAAGCTTCAGGCTTGGTGTATTTCAAGGCTGGGCTCAGCCACAAAAAATTTCCCAAAAGTTTTAATGTTTTTTTTTTCGACAATCTTAGGGTTAAAAAACAAACCTGAATTGCTTCTAATTTCTTTCGATTTTTTGACTCACAATTCCATATGGTAATTTAATTACGTAATGCATGAAACAAATATATATATTGACAAATATATGAATATATACAATATATATATTGGAAGGTAAATATAAATGTAGGGGATTCATGCATCATAGGGAATGTTTTCATGATTCATAGTCGTTTCAAATATCTTACTTTATTTTAAGCGTACCTGATTGACAGAAAACAACAAAAGCCTTTGAATTTGTAGAAGTTCCTTCTTGGAAAGCCGGAATTGCATCTCCAATGCATTATATCACGTTCAACACAGAAAAATTAAATTGAATCAATAACATGTAGATCAATTTAATAAAATAAATTAATCATAAAAGAATGATTAAAAGGTAATACTCTCCTGATTGAAGAATAAATTGTCTTTAGCGCAGCGTCAAGAACGTGCTGATAACGTATTGTAGGCATAATTTACTATCCCATTATGCATTTATTTATAGTAGTAGGAAGGGTAAAACATTTCCCTTTAGGATTACAATATTTAATATCTACTAGGATTTACACAATCAAATTCTTATTACAATAGAACTACAACAAATAGTATCAATATTAATATTTTAATGTAAAAATATAATTTTTCATTAAATTAAACGGTAATGAAGCTTTTCGTTAAAATTTATAAAAATCTTTGGTTATTCTGCACTCTCTTACCTTCATCAAATTCTTTCTCAAAGATTTTCTCTTCCTCTCACTGATTTCTTTCGCTCTGCTGGGGTCCCTCTCTAAAAGCGGCTGGAACATTCCCGAACTCTTATTTTCAGGTGTGCGCTCTATATTTCTCTTATTTCAATCATTTTCTCGAACTTTGGTTTTGGTTCTTTTTTTTTCTTCTAATTTTTTCTTTGTTTTTATTCTGATTTCGATTGTGAAGTCGAATTTCTACTTTGAAATTTCAGTTCTTAGGTTTATGATTTAGAATTTGAGGTAGGGATTTAGGGTTTAGGGTTTGAGGGATGCGATTTGGGTTTGAAATTTCTGAAAAAAATGCAACTCTTTCTGTATTTCAATTTTTACCGTTTCGATTCGGGCTTAGTAAAAGAGCCGCATAAGTTAAGTGTGTGTAGTGAATCTAGTGACTGTGTCAAATGAATAAAGACTCAGAAACAGCAAGCAGGTTCTTGGGTTGTCTGTGTGAGTTTGTGGCCTGTTGTTTTCTTAATCTCGATCGATCGATTGCAGGTTTGCTGGTTAATTGCAAATTAATTATACATGCTTGCTTCCTCTGTATCTTTTGATGGGTTATCATCTTTATTCAAATCAACTAATGCTGATAACGTTGACGAGGGCGAAATTCTTCTTGTGGAAGGCTTGTGAAAGTTCACAAAGTTACCAAGGTATTGCATTGCAGACTAGATGTCAATATATATAACAGAGAGAGAGGTTTAGGTTTATGATAGGGAGAGAGCAATGGAGGGAAGAAAGAAAACTGGGTCGTCGTCTTCTTCCTTTACCTCTGAGCTTTTCGGGTCGAAGGAGTCTTCTGCTTCTTCTGGGATTTTCTGGGCCATATTTGCGTCTTCGTCCAAGGATTTGTATTATTCCCCTGTTTTTTTAATTATTTTTCTAAAAATTTTGATGGGGTTTCTTATTGTTTTCTTCGATTGTTCTATTGGGTTTTGATTTTTATCTATGCATTTTTCGTTTTCGCTTGTGTGTTTGGGAAGTGTCTGATTTGGATGGATATCGTGTTGTTGCTGCTGCAGATGGTGCCTCGGAAGAGAGCGAAGGGGGAGAGTAAGAGCATAACAAATATGGACATAATAAGCTCCATCACGCTGTTGATATTATATGTGTGCATGAAGCAGGGGGAAATGTATATTCTTTATTTGTTCACAAGGTATATTCTAGGTTCTCTATATACCAAACCATTTGTACTTGCACCGATTTAATCTATCTCTATCTCCGTTGGAAGTATTTATATGTATTTTGTAAAATAATTGTGCGATGTCTCTGTTATGTTGTGTTTTGTTTGAATTTTGTAGAAGCTGAACACTTGTTTGATTGTGTGCTTATAAAAGACGTGCTTCCCATCTCTTCCCATGGAGCTCTAACCTTTGATGAGGCCCAGGTAACTCTTTCATTGACTTGAGATTAGGCCCTAATAATTTTTCCAAGTATTGTAGTTTTCCCATATATAATAGTTGTGCTTTTGCTTTCAACGGGGTATGATTGTTGTGCTTTTGCTTGTTGAAGATGATTTTGCTTGAACTTGGTGTCGTAGAAAACTTGTGAAAATTTACAAGGATTTGAGCAAGGGCTGAGCCATAAGTAATGTTTATATGAATTTGAGCACTTATTTTATATAATAACAGTCTAATTAGTTGGGGTTGCAACTCCAACCCCACAATTAGCTTGAGTAAATTTCTTCTTCTTTAATTTTTAGGTAATACTTTCAGTTACAAGTTGGTAGCTACTTGGCTGACTTCTCTCCCTGTTATTTTCAGTTCAGGTTTATTATTTACCTTACTTACCTTGGCATCAAATTGAACTGTACCGAACTAGAATTTGTGCACTATGAGCATAGATTAATTGAGTTTGTTTGCTAATTGTTGCCTGTGGTATAGTGCTCAATTTTTTCCTCTTGTACCTCCCCAGGTTTATGAGAAATTTTTGTCGGCCGAGTTACTTGTGCTCTATAACCAACAGTAGCAGCTACATAAGGGTCTTCATGGTTCTGTTTCGTACTTTGACGGTCAGTTTCATATTTTTTTAGTATAGCTCATTGGTTTTAGACCTGATTTTGTTGTAGTTTAGCGTACCTTTTTTTTAAAAAAAATTTTATGTGAAAGCGTGCCGTTTGTAATACTTTTTTATGAATATGTGATTGGTTATAGAAGACTACAGCAAACATACAATTCTACGTGGTCTTTTAACTATATATAATACATACATATATATATATATATATATATATATATATATATATATATATATATATTTGGGTGCCCAGATTAATGGGCCCTTTAAAAAAAAAAACATATTACAACATAGACACCGATGTATAAAAATTATATAATATTTCAAAGGTGTAACTATTCATTGTGCCACTGTTATCTAATTGGTGGTGATTGTAACATTAGAGACTTCTATATTGGACATGTACTTCTATTTGGTGGCTGTTTGGTGGCAATTGGGGTTTACCACCAATGTTAGTGTCCATTCTTTATAATAGACACCAATGAAAAGGGTGTCTTTTAGCCAAAATTCTAGTAGTGGAAGTTGACAATTGGAGCAATGATCCCTCAACTTTAACCTAATTGTAGCAATGATTCTTCCAACACGAATCATTTTGACGGAAGTTCAGACGAAGTTTACGAAATGACCATATCTGCACGTTTTGAGGGAGGGACCATTGGTCATGAATTTTAAGTTGAAGGACCATTGCTCAAATTGGGTCAAAGTTAAGAGATCATTGCTACAATTTCCTCTTATATAAATACTATAATCAGAACTGTTTAATTTACTATAAGCTATTTTTGAGTCGAATATTTTTTTCATAGTGATTATCTTTAAATGATGATTAAGAAATTCAGTTTCGATTATAAAATTTATACGATGAATATATGTAATTCATAAAAGGTGCGATATGTGCATTCCTCCCATGAGGAGATGCAAGTATTATCTAAATATATAAAGGGTTGAAATTCAGGGGACACATTTTTCACATATATTTTGACACTCGTTTTGTATGACCCACTTTGTAATGTATTTCGACGTTCTGAACTGTCTATATTTTAATACATCATTCCTAAGTCATCCTTACAAAAAAAATTTGACAAATCCAAAACCACTAAGACATTCTTTTGTAATAAAGAAAATAAACGAATACATTTTTGCAACGAAACACTAAATTTAATCCAACACTCATATGATTTATATTTGGGTGATTTTTTACGGAAGACATATAAGTTAGGCAGTTGGATCATTGAAATAGATTACAGATAAATAACACATATAAGAGATAAAATATCTCATATGAACAATCTTTAAGATTGTGGCATCGAAAAGGAGGGGGAGGGGGGGGGGGGAGAAAATTGGAAGATGAGAGAACGTCGGGAATGAAGTCGAGGAGTTGGTGGAAGAGTAATTTTTCTCTTAATTTTTAATTTTATTTCATTGTTAAATATTTAAGTTAAGTAGATAATTTATAAATAAGTTTATAATAATTGATGAACTTTTTAATAGAGAATGGATGAAATGTTATTAATTGGCTAAACGACATAAACATGAGCACCAAATTGGCTAAATTAAAAATAGGAAGACTAAATTGGGCAAATGGCATTACGGCAATAACACAGGGATCATACATTTAAGCCAAAAATATTATAATATCTGAAATTTACGTCTTAGCAACCATGCAATAGAGATACCTTGAAACAGCTAAGTAAGATCATATGAAGAGATTCTTTTTTGTTTTTGTTTTTTGTTGGGAGATTCTCTAATCCTTTGAGTTAAAACTAATCATAAATTTATAATTCAAGAATTGATTATTTGTTTCTAACAAGAAAAGTAAATTTACAACGAGAAACCGCTACGAGAATAATAACAGAGGGAACATTGTTAAACCAAACACAAGAATGATTATAAAGATGTACTAAATTTGTTAAGCCATCAGCGATCATATTTATCTCACATGCGTGGGTGATTAGTTGAAAAATGAGGAATCTGATGAATATGATGCCAAATGTCTTATAAAATAGCCTTTGATTCTCCAAGGTATTCGAATATGATTATGAATTGGTTCTTGCTGTTATTCCAAGTTCAGGTAAAAGGGGCTGAGAATATGAAAATGTTTTTGTTGCAGAGGCAGCGTGCGACTTTGAAGATGATGTTTTTCAATACAACGCATCCCTTGTTTCTCTTTAAGATGGTCCTCTCCTCACCACCTTTTGTTTCCCTCACCTTTATATTCTTTTATTTATTTATTTATTTTCTTAACCAATCTTCTGACTTTTTGTTTTTATTCATTTCTAACTTTTTTTTTCTTTTTAAGACCACATCATTTTTGTTCTTCCATCCAGCTTGGTAACAAATTATTGTAACTAATTTATTGTATAATTTTAGTTATATTTTTGCCCTTCCTGACGAAAAATTCTAGCTTCGCTACCGGTCAAATGTACAAAAAGTTAATTCAAATAACCTAGGATGATTACGCGCTCGTTTGGATGTACTTTTAAAATGGTTGAAAACGCTTTTAGAACAAATGTTTTTGGGTTCTAAAAACACTTTAATGCTTACTGTAAGAAGCACTAGTTATATGCTTCTTCCATGAAGCACTTTAAGTGATTTTTTTCATGATTTATTTGTATTTTTACTAAGGATTGGTCCCAAAAACATTTTCACTAAAAGCGTTTTTGGTCATTTTAAAAGCATATCCAAACGAGCTCTATTTTACGAAAATAACACCTTTGAATACGAATTAACATAAGGTTATTTTAAGCATACTAAGGATTGGTTCCAAAAACATTTTCACTAAAAGCATTTTTGGTCATTTTAAAAGCATATCCAAACGAGCTCTACTTTAAGAAAATAACATCTCTGAATAGGAATTAACATAAGGTTATTTTAAGCATATATTTACTTATAACAAATGAATTTGCAATTCCCTATCCCTTAACCAAAAATTAGATCTTACCGTTTCAGACCCGATGGAATTTCAATTATTGCACTTTAAGATTCGATTTTTGCTTTGGGTTTGCTTGCCATTTTTGGTTTGATTGGCTATGGGTTGCTTCTTATTAAGGTTTTATCGGCTGTTTTTATTTTTGGGCTAACTGCTTTTGATATCTTTTTGTATCCATTCGCTGTTGGTGCTCCTCTTAGTCCTTCCTACAGTTGTGGATTTCATGTCTGCGGTGGTGGGTCGGATAGTTTGAGAGTCATGTTTGACTCATTCTCTGATCGCTTGAAGATGACGCCTGTTGCTAGCTCCGGGTGGGTGCTACTATACCATCTTCTACAGATCACATGTCAAGGCTTTGGTCTCCTCTTTACCTGTCGAGATTTTGGTCACCTCTTTGGTGTTGCTGGCAGCGGTGCATGCAGAAAGTTTGATGAAGTTGCTAGGTTTTTTTGTATTAGGCTTTTTTGTTTTGGGCTCCAATTTCTGTTTTGGGCCAAACTTTTGTTTGTTTATGTTTGTTTGGGTGGTCCGTTCTGTTGTTTTATGTCTGTTTTTGTTTTTGGACCTCCTTTTTGTAATCTTGTTCTGTTTGTAATGAAGGTACCTTTGACCAAAAAAAAAAAAACGAATCAATTATCATTTGTTTGGTCAAATGAAAAAAAAGAAAAGAAAAGTTGAATTTCCATCTATTTTTTATAGGACAAATCTGAAAAATGAATTTTTAGGTATGAAATAACTCATGAAAATTATACCCTAATTTATTCCATATTTCCGTCTTATCCTCGTTTATTTTCACATACATCTTTTCTCATCCCTTACAAATATGGGCAATTAGCTTGGATGATTATTTTTTGACATTTGGTTGGAGTAATGTTCATTTTTTTTAATAATAACAACATAGTAATCATACAACAATAACACAACTATAATATAATGACGCATGATCATTTCTGTCAAATGGTAATCTTTCCTGCTAATCGCCTTTCAAATAATTAAATATTCCAAAAAGTGAGAGGAGTATCATCGCAAAGTTGGCAACTTGGCACAACAAGACTGAGAAGAAAACTTGGGTTAGTTAAGATTTGAGGCAACTAACTTAAGAAAGGCATGTGTCGTGTGGCATGTATTGCTTAAGTTCATTTCCCAGAAATAAAAAACCGAAGAAAAGCGTGCGACAGGTCACATAAATTGTGTTAAGGTCGAGAATATTCCTCAATCATTCAAATACCTTTTATTTATTTATTTTTATTGAGTTCACCTTTTATTTAATATCCGTTTAATTGATTCCATGTTTTAAATATGCTCTAATAAATAATAATAATAATATGTTATTGCCAATTAGTATTATGATTTATTAGTATTCATCTTCATTTGTAAGTAATAGGTTTTATATTCGATTATCACTAAAGGCGAATTTGAACCACATTATTATAATAGCTCATTGTGAAGCTTAGCGTCCACTCTTCCACCCCTTTAGTGTAAATAACATCGTTTGCTTAACAAAAATAATAATATTATTATTATATTGTCCGACCTTGACTTGCACCTAGCATAGGACCTTCTCTTTCAAATTAACTTGGGATCCAGGTTCTCTCCTTTCCATTTTCATGCCTCTCCAAATCACGTCAACATTTTTTGAGGAGAAATAATCCTACTCCATTATCTTGACCAATGTTTGTAGTTATTTTGTAGAGAGAAAGATGAAGAGAAAAGTGAGAGGGGAGGAGAAGGGAGGGGAGGTGAGTGAAATGAATTTTGGAGAAGAAAGAATCCTACACCATTAACTTGACCAATATTTACAGTTATTTTATTATTTTATTGTGCTGAGATGAAATTTTAGTGCCATCCGATTGAATTATTATATGAATTCGAATAGAGATGTTGGCCAAACTAAGAGCAACTCCAGTGTAGGAGCCTTCCCCCCAGACTATTCATTATTTAATTCACCCAGTGAACAGTAACTGCCCTTAATGAACATTAATTGCCGTGGCAATTGCCTTTTGCATCTCCACCCCTGCACTGAATAGCCCTGACAATTGGCAATAAAATATTATTATTTTTTTATTTATAAAATAATACATAATAATTTTATTTGTAATTTCGGATAAGATTTTTAATTGTTCTCGTTGCGCCACGTGTCATTATCCGAAAAGTCAATAGCAATAAAATATTTGTATTTTATTTATTTATAAAATAATTCAAAAGAATTTTATTTGTAATTTCGGATAAGATTTTTAATCGTTCTCGTTGTGCCACGTGTCATTATCCGCAAAGATAATTTTCATAATTTTTTTTCGGATTTTAAGTAATTTTTTACATTTTTAAATTTTTTTTATTCACCTAATTAATTTATGCCGTTGGATTTAAAAAAAAAGTTGAATTCCAACATTCCAGATTGTGCCACGTGGCACAACGGTAACATTTCAGAATTTTAAACTTTTTTTTTTTAAATTTACAAAGCCTAATAACGTGGACCGTTGATTTTAGATAAAACGGATGAAATTAAATGATATTTTTAAATATTTTTTACCGTTGGAAATCCAACGGTCCATAAAATAAGGCCGTTGCAATTGAATAGACATGGGGAAGCCACGTGGCTTCCCCAATGGTAACATTTCAAAACAGGTGCCGCGGCCCCAATCCTTTTTTTTTATCGAAAGACGCGCACCCACGTGCGCGTGAAACGCACGCGCCTAACGCAGCCCTCGGGCTCTCGGGCTGGCAATCGACGTCGGGCCTGCTCCTCAGGCCTCGCCTGTCACTCGGGCTACCCAACGCTGGACCCTATCCCCCCAACAATTTGGTTCTATTTGAAGTCCTGGCCCCCGAGCAACCTCCCCCGCTGGAGTTGCTCTAACATGTGACTGGTCTACCAAGAAAAAAACTAACATGTGACGGGTCACATCAATCCATAAGAAGTCTAGCGACCCAACATAATGGTTGAGTTTTCAAATCTTATTTCATATCTTTTCTTTTTCCTTTTAAATTTTAAAATTTCAATGATCTAATCATCAAATATAGTGAAAAGACCATTTTTGACAGTAAAAGACTCGTTTGCTATATGTTTCCTTAGAATAAAAAATTCGACTTTGTTTTAAATACAACGTTATATTTACAGTAAGGAGTGATGGAATAAATTAGTATCAAATATTCGAACTTATAATTTATGAGATTCAGTTCCAACCTAAAACTTTGTACTTATAAGTTATGAGTAGAGAGAAATATCATTAGAATTTAAAACTAAACGGAAGAATAAAAAATTCAAACTTAAAACATCTTATGAGGCTGTCTCGTGATTTAAAAAAATATATAATACATTGTCTGGTGGTAGATGTACTTGATTGATGGCATAGGATCATTAGTTGTCCTTGATCCAAATAACTCCAAAAATACCATGTATATTTGTTTGTATATTGTATTTGACACCTATAAATAGGTAATGCAAACTAAATTACAACCTCCTTTTTCTGCTTCTATTTTCTTTTATCATATTTGTCTTCATTTCCTCTTTTCTTGAATAAAGTACTTTAGTTGAAAAATCTTAGTAGTCTTCAACATTACTCCACAATATCTTGCATCCACCTTCGACAAGTCTCTATAAATAATAGTACTTATCGACATATATTGGCATAAACTTTCGGCGTATGCTAACAAGAATTGACAAGTGCCTACTAGGTGCTCGATGAAATGGCCCAATGAAGCTTTATGCTGATCTTATGACCTCATTATTTAAAAATCTTGGCTACGCCATTGATTGAAGGGTAGTAACTGGATGAAAAAAAGAAGAGAAATAATTGGGGCAATTATGAGATTGACACTCATTAGCTAATAAGACCATATGATAATATAATTGATAGCTAAATTGAATGAATGAAATAATTAAAGAGAAATGCTAAGGAGATTTTCTTAAAGGGTAATACTAAGAGACTAACTTTGTAAACAAATTTATAAAATAAATGATTTGTCACAAATAGGAATGAGCACGTTTATCAACGCTTAAGTAATAACTTAATCATCAATTTTCATGTTATTTAATTTACAAACAAATTTAGTTTTTTAGCATTACCTTTTTTTTTAAATGGGACTTTCTAGGAACTCACCATCACCTAACAGTTTAATGTCAATTTTTGTCCTAATATTATAAAATATTGTGCTAAAAAAATTAAGGTGACAGAGTCTCATTTTTAAGAGAGTTCTGTAACACTTATCATAAATAAAACTAGTAGAGAACACACACTTTGTGTGTGTGAACAATTATTTTTAATAAGTACATATTTTTTTAATATTACATAATTACTGTTTTGTCCTCCTTATGTAAATATTGTGTATCAAAAGTGAAGGTAAAATTGAAAAAATAAGTATAAAAAAGGGTAAAATAGAAAAATAGGGATATGGTTGTCATTTTGTCAAAAGGTATAAAATTACTAT